GGAGGGGCATACTTATGAAGAACAACACATTCCCAATCAAAAAACAAAGTTAACATGGTCTTGATATTGCTGTGACTTTGCTGTGCCTTCTTTGGGTATGGAAAACCAGGCAACTTCCATTGGGATGACTGAACCTTGGTTTCTAGATCATAGACCTAAACCTGTGATTCATGTCCTGTTATGACCTTCTTGAAATCTGGTTCATTGGTAGCAACTTGAATCAAGTCATTAGCAACTGCAGCATGATGTTCCTTTTGCTCTGGCAACAGAAGCCACAGAGCAAATTTTGCCACAACACATTTCATGCTAAGATCCTGTGTCAAAATCTCAGATGCAGTAGTTTTTGGAATCCCCAGATCAGCTTCTAGTTCTCCCACTGTCAGTTGCCGATCTTTGTGGATTGCTGCCCATATACACTCAACATTCTCAGGCGTTCTGCTTTTTGCAGGCTTCCCAGAATGTGGATTACTTTCAACAGATTCTCAACCATCTTTGAAGTATTTGTTCCACAATTTTATTTGCACTGCAGTCATTGCATCGTCCCTGAATGCCTTCTGAATCATCCGAATCATTTCTGCAGAGCAGTGTTTAAGCTTAAAGCAAAATTTGATGCAGATTTGTTGTGCTCCTCAATCATTTTTAATGCAGCAGCCACACAGTACACATGCTCACTCAACAGCCTCTACTGCCCCCGCTGACTAGTACAGTGAAGGTGTCCTTGTTCACGCATGCGCATTCCAGTCCACTTTCCTTGATTGCCAGATTACATTGGTGTTGGCAAAGCCTTCTTTTTATATTAACGATGGCTGGGCTTTTTCTGGACAGACCTCATGTTTATGTTTGATTACTGTTCTCACTGCACAGTGGAAATGAGATTGTAGGATGCTGAGCATATGGTACTTGTAACTGCCACTCATTAACTTTTTAACCAGTGATGTCTCCCCATACAGATAGGAATAGCTGTGATTGGTAGGTTTGAACTCTGAAAGTTAAGTACTATTTTTTAATAAACAAGAAATATATTCATGCCTGAAATTTAAAAAAAAAAGGTAAGAAACATAGACTTCTAAATGCCATGGAAATTGGTATAGATCCTGAATTCTTTTTTAAAAGTAAGGAACACAAACTTCTTAATGATTGTAGATTTGAATTTTCAAATCATCCAGTTACTAGCTCTCTGAAAAAGTTTACTGAGTTGCTAGAAGCTTTAGCTGTCTTGTCTATAAAATGAACTGTTTTAAAAATGAGCTAAAGGAAAGCTTGTAAGGCTCTTAGGATTTGGCTAGCACATATCTATTAAGTTCTCAAAAAAAGCAGAAATAAATATAACAAGGATACAAAGCAACAGGGATGCAGAGACCATAAATTTACATATTTTCTTATTGATGACATTCTGATTATTCAAGTGAATAAACCAAATGTTAGGAGATGTAGTTTAATTAAGGGTCATGACTAAATAAAAATAGTAGAGCTGGGATTTAATTCCAGTTTATGTCTGGTTCCAGAGCTCAAACTCAGTGCCCTGTGACCCCTTTCCTAAAACATTATCTCTTCTGGAAGATTCTGTCTCTCGTGTTGCAGCTGAAAACTACAGAACCATGTTTCAGCTTAGCAATGAGAATGTGAACAAATTGCTCACCTTTGTTACTCGGTTAGTGGGACTAAAGAAAGTTGTCATAAAAATTATTTCCTGACTTAGGTGATGATAAAATTTTTTCTTGAAAATTGTCTTTTAGGAACTCTAGTTAATTAATTGGTCCATTAACTAGTCACCTGATAATGTATAACTATAGGAGTAATGATTTGTGAGACTATACATTTTTCCAGTATGTATAGTTACCTCTGCAGGATGACATCTGCGAGAATACGAGATGTGGCAGCCCTGTGCTTATAGTAAGGAGGAGGTGGTGTGTGTACATCTTTATGTGTATGGGGTCTTCTGGGGGAGCGGGGGTTGGAGAAAGCTCTAGGGAGAATGTCTCTAGCTTTGTATCAAGGAAGCAAGTTGAGGGGGGCTATCTGACTATAACATGGAAATAATTGTTAATGTAAGTGGCATCTTCTTAGAATGGCAGTATACCTAAATTGGAAGTAGCCACTTCAAGTGATACTCAGAATAAGAAATATTTAATGTAACCAAAAAAGGGGATGGTTATTTAATGTTTACAGAAATTATTATTGATTTTTTTAAAAAAAACTTCTGAATAGAATTGTTTCTAAATTAAAGCAAATGTATAGGAAATTAGCAGTATCATGTTTTATGTTTTAAAGGATTGTTTATTGGTTTTAAAAATCATTAATACTTCTGTGAAATTAGCATGTTTTATAATATCTTGCACAATATTTATCAGACTTCCCATTTATTTAGAATGGTGGGAAAGGAACTATATTTTCTTCACCTGTTCTTATTTTTTGTAATGAATAAAAATGCTTAAGAAATCTCTGCCTATTGCCACATATTCTATTAATGCTGAAGTATGCAAGAGATCTTTTTATTCCCAGGTTCAAAGGCCTTCTTCCACAATTTGTATATGCCTTGAAACTCTCATATAGAAATATATGCTTATGTAAACATGTGTATTAACTGACATCATTTTCAAGTTAAAATTAGGTTATATTCTAATTCATTCTGAAACATATAAACTCGACGTGCATATCTTTCCAGGTTAGTACACACAGAATTACTTTAATTTATTAAATATTTTATAAGGCTGTATTAGCTTATTTCTTTGCATGCTGATGACAATTTAGATTAAATCTATTTTTTTATTATAAAGAATTCCACCAAGCCCTGTAAGATAGGTATTATCTTCTCCATTTTAAAGGTGAAATGGAGGCAGAGGCTATAGGTAACTTGCCCTATAGTACATACCAAGTAAGTGGTGGAGCTGGTATTAGAATCATAGCAGTCTACTCCAGAATCCACAGTCTGAAATACTACTTTATACAACTGTTTCCCTCTACCCATGTATTCTGTGTACTGAGTTGGGAGGAAAAATGTATAAAATACATCTAATTTTAAGACTTCTAAAAATAATTTGCTACCTTAAGAATATTAGAAACCTTAGGGACACAGGTTATAGAGCTGTAATTGTAGTTGTTTCTAATACAGAAGTAGGAGGTTTAAGCCAACACTTCTGAAATGTTAATGTAGGCACATTTCACTGGGGGTTGGGGGGAGATCTTGTTAAAATGTAGTTCTGATTCAATAATGTGGGGTGGGTTCTGAGACTCTACATTTCCAATAAGCCCCTGATGTCGCCAGTACTACTGGTCTCCTTCTGAGTAGCAAAGATTTAGGCAATTTATACTGACTTTTGGCAGATTGTGTCACTTTATTGAATCGGTTTCTTATTTTGTTTATGCTACCACAATTCTCATAAGTTGTGCACGTTGAAGAAATAGGTATGGGCTTTCTAGTAGTTTGGATTCTGTCAGTAGCATTAACACTGCTGGAGAAGATAAATCATGGCTTATATGGTACTAATGTGCAGCACTTAAATAACTACCATCAGATTACTGACATACTAAATATGGCTTGCACACCTAGGTCACAGTTTCCACTGTTTTTTTAATATAGGGAAAAATAATTTCTTTTCATTTGGAAGGCTATAACTGTAGGTGAACTAAAAGGGTTTTATCACTTTTATTTTATTCTTTAGTATTTCACACATACTCTTGACTATGTGCCAGGCACTATTATCACGTGCTTAATTGGCATGAGTTCATTTACTCATCACGGCCTCCCTCATTCATTCATCCATCCGCTCTTTGAGCACCTGCTCTGTTCCAGGAACTGTGCACACAGTGTTGAACCAGATGAACACAGGTTCTGCTTTCTTAGGTTCTATACTGTACATTAATCAAGCAGTCATAGAAGTGTGATGGTTGTAAAAGCAAAGTTAATGATAATAAGTGCTACTTTTTTTTTAAGATTTTACTTATTTATTTTTTTTTAGAAAGAGCAGAAGGGAGGGAGAGAAACATCAATGTGTGGTTGCCTCTCCCATGCCCCCTACTGGGGACCTGGCCCACAACCCAGGCATGTGCCCTGACTGGGAATGGAACACTTGCTACTTTCTACAGAGAAAATATGATGATCGAGAAACACCATCAAAGGCAACTCAGCTCTTAGCCCTCCAGGCTTCTCTTACCTACTCCAAAGGCAGTTCTTTTTCTGGCAGCTGCATTTCTGAGCTGTTGCAAAGCTAAACCAACCCTAAGGGCTGCAGAGAGACAAAACTTGAGAAGTAAAGATAAACAATTTGCACAAGAAAAGAAAGAACAGAGGTAGATGGAATTAATTTATAATAAAATAAAATTTAAATTAAACAAAAAGAATACCTGAAGGGACACTTCACATTAATTTGAAGGAGTAAATATCCTTAGTACTTTAAATGGGAGTATTTTTTAAAAACACTTATTTATTAGGTGATACTCAGTTCAGAGAGGTATTTGAATGGTTCCATGTCCCCAACTCTGTGATAGATACAGAAAATCAAGGGATAGCAAAATAGGATATAATTTTGTCCCTAATGGTATTGGGGTTGTTGATAAAAGGTTGGAAGAGACAATGGAAGGTATTTTTTTTTTTATGTACCAACATGTGTGACCCTAGCAATAGGCACATTGGTGGTGGATTAAGCATGTTCTTAGAGGAATGCCACTTTTAAAAGTACATGATTCTCTCTTTTCTAGTAATAGTATGGAGTTCTCTTCTGACTATTAACTTGATAGGAAATTTTTTTTGGATTTAGTTGGGTCTGTACATTGGCCCTTTATATATTATTACAGTACATTTTTCTAATTTCCAAAATGTTTTCCCTACTACTATTAAAATTTTGGGCTTCATTATATTATTTTGAAGAATATTATAGGAGACTTTAATTTAGTGTCTGAATATTTCAAGTAACTCTAGTTTTTTTTTTTTAAGGGAGAATCTGAAAATTTTTAATACATTTTATCTTGGAAATTAGTTTATTCATTATGTTTAATTTTAGGAAATGGTGCTCTTGCAGAACATTCTGAAAATGTGCATATTTCAGGAGTGTCAACTGGTAAGTCATTTTTTGTAATGTTTAAATTTCATGCATGACTTATAGTAAATATTGAAAGCCACCTGGTATCTTACGAAGTGATATTTGGCTATAAAAATTATTACTGCTTTTTGCAGCATGTAATAAGGAATGAAGTAACTGGAACATGGGGAAATTCTCATAAGATAAAATTGGTACTTGCATGCCCATGGATTGATTGTACTTTTCCAAAAGGACTGCATGATTATTTTTATACAAACGTTGAGCCAAGAGAAGTTAGCTCAAGTTGAATTAGTATTTTCTTTTCCTACAAAGTTACATGAAATGAAATTTAGTAAAATGTAATTTTGAATGTAGCATTAGAGCCTTAGAAATGAAGCATTTTGCTTGATTTTAGATTAGACTACTACTATACATAAAAGTGTTGTACTTGAGGGCACAATTTGCATGCTATTAAAAAGCAACCCAACGACAAATTTGTATCCATGACATTCAGACTCTTGTTGAGGTAAATACACTTTTTTCCCCACTGATCTAAGCTTTTAAAATTTAATGACTACTTAAAGGCCCCTTAGTATTGAAATTCTCATTCTTAGTGACTTCCACAGCTCTGTTGCCATTTTTGCTGTATCAGCTGCAGTTACTGCGAGAGCAGAATCTTATTTTTGCATATATTGAAATAGTTTCTTCCTATTATTTTATTATTTCCCTATATTTTTATAAGTTTTACAGTTTAAAAAATTGCACTTAGTGTATTTATCAGTCTGATTTCTTCTAATTTGTTTGGTTATGTTTTTTCATATGAAATGAATCTGAAAGTTTCTTCTTTTGTTTATGTCTCACATTATATTCAGAAAACTCATAGACTTAACAAATATTCTGAGAGTTAGTGTGCACGAGCCAAACACATCAAGCTTGGTTGTCTGACCAGGAAAAGCAAAGCAAATGCCTTAGTAGTCTGTGTTAATTCTTTCCCAGTTTGTTTCACCATTTTCATGTGCTTTCAAATGGTGTATAATTATATACATCAAGTAAAAATAAGGCTGTTCTTAAAATGACTTGAATTTTCTCCCTTTCTATTTCAAATAGCTAATGAAAATTATGATTATTCTTTCAAGTAGTAAATGTGAAGTAAGAAGTTTAACAACATTTTAATTCATACAAGCAAAGGGTTATTGTCTAATTCGGTGATTTTCAAAATTTTTGTTTTCAAAAATGTTAAGCTTTTAAGCTTTTAAAAATATTGAGGACTTTATTAGTTTGCTTGGGCTTCCATAACAAAAATACCATAGTTTGAGTGGCTTATATAAGAGATACTTATTTTTTCACAGTTCTGGAGGATAGAAGTCCAAGATCAAAGTGCAGACAGGGTTGGGTGCTGCTCAGCCCTTTCTTCCTGACTTGTAGATGGCCACCTTCTCGCTGTGTCCTCACGTGACCTCGGTGTGCACCCAGACAGAGGTCTTTGGTGTCTTTCCTCCTCCTCTCGTGAGGACCTCTGTCCTGTAGGATTAGGGTCCGCCCTTCTCTTACGACCTCGTTTAACATGGCTTACCTATGCACATCTTTCAAGTGCAGTCACATGGTGTTTTAGGGCTTCAACTAATGAATTGGGAGACAGACACAGTTGGGTCTATAATAAGGAATTCAAAGAGTTTTTGATTTATGTAAGTTGTATTTACTGTATTAAAGATTGAAACAAATTATTTAAAAACTATTTTATTTGCAATTGCTGGTCAGGATGGCTGTATAGGCAGATATGGCTTGCCTCTTCGCACAACCACATCATAATTACAATTAAAATATGGAACAGCAATCACTGTGGAATGTTAGAAATCGAGCTGAATGGAAGTCTGACAACTATGGAATTAAAGAAACCACATGCATCCAGACCGGTAGGACGGTCACAGATGTGGTATGGGCTGGTCCCATACCCACATGGATAAAAATTTGGGAGGGTATCTTGGGAGTGAGGAGTCCCAGAACAACACCAGGCACCCCCCCTCCCCAGCCCAGGATTCCAGTGCCAGGAAGATAAGTCCCCACAGCTTCTGACTGCAAAAACCAGCCAGAATTGGGTCAATGGAAGAAACTTCTGGAGCCCCAAGTAGTTCCTCTTAACTCACACACAGACTCACCTACTCTGACTCATTCCCTCTGAACTCCAGCACTGGGGTAACAGCTTAAAGGCACCCATGGTATACAGGGAGAAACTGAAGTGTATGGCATCAAGGCAAGCAGAGGTCATTGTCCCTTTTCTAAGCCCTCCCCCCAACAGAGCTGGCAAGCTGGTGCCATGTTTAAGACTCCATCAACCTGGCTAATACTGTGTGACCCACCTTGAAGATCTCTAGAGGCTCTGCCCCACCCAACTTACAGCCCCATCCAAACTACTTTTCCATAAGAATGGCTGGTCATGGCCCCTAAATCCTATCAAACAAGCAACAGCTGGCTTCAGTAAGCCCTAGAGGCAGCCATATTACATTAACAGCTTGGCTTTGCCTGGGAATCTCCAAGCCCAGCACAAGTAGCAGCCATCTCAAGATTGCTTTATAGTTCAGGCAGGGTATCCCAGGCAAAACATAGCTGGGGGCTGACCTTGCCCTGCACCACCCGTGAAAACCCAGAGCCAGCGCGCCCAGTGGACAGCTTACAGACCATATGGGAACACTACCACCTTGCCCCTGCACAGAAGATCCTCCACAGATGGTAAAGGCTGGTGGTCAGTGGTCACAGCCCATTTCTGCAGCTGACTGGCCTGGGTAAATCCCTCCCACCGATCTGCCAACAGCAACCAAGGCTCAACTACAAGAGGAGGGTGTACTCAGCCCACACAAAGGATGCACCTCAAGTACCCAGCTTGGGTGATAGGGGAGGCTGTGCCACTGGACCCTACAGGACACCTACTACCTTAGACCATGCTACCAAGACAGGAGTCAAAGCAGCCCTATCTAATACATAGAAACAAACATCGGGAGGCTCCCAAAACAAGGAGACAAAGAACATGGCTAAAATGAAAAAAAAAAAAAAACAGACCAAAACTTCAGAAAAAGAGCTAAACAAAATGGAAATAAGCAGTCTATGAGAGAGAGAGTTCAAAACACTGGTTATAAGGATGCTCAAGGAACTTAGTGAGGACCTCAACAGCATAAAAAAGATCCAATCAGAAATGAAGGATACACTAACTGAAATAAAGAACAGTTTACAGGGAAACAACAGTAGAGTGGAGGAAGCAGAGAACCAGATCAATGATTTGGAACATAAGGAAGCAAAAACAACCCATCAGAACTACAAGAAGAAAAAAGAATCCAGAAAAACAAGGATAGTATAAGCAGCCTCTGGGACAACTTCAAAAGGTTCAACATTCACCTCATAGGGGTGCCAGAAGGAGAAGAGAAAGAGCAAGAAATTGCAAATCTATCTGAAAAAATAATGAAAGAAAACTTCCCTAATTTGGTGAAGGAAATAGACATGCAAGTCCAGAAAGCACAGAGAGTCCCAAACAAGATGGATACAAAGAGGCCTACTTCAAGACACACCATAATTAAAATGCCAAAGGTTGAAGATAAAGAGAGACTGTTAGAAGCAGCAAGAGAAAAGCAGCTAGTTACTAATGGTTGGCAGATCGGAGGAGGGGAAGGAGAGGAAGGGGAGGGTGGATGAAGAGGTGAAGAGATTAAGAAGTACAAATAGGTAGTTACAGAATAGCCATGGGGATGTAAAGTACAGTATAGGAGATGGAGTAGCCAAAGAATTACACACATGACCCATGGACATGAACAATGATGGGGGGATTGCCTGAGGGAGTGGGGGGAGCTGAGTGGAGGGCGTAAAGGGGGAAAAATGAGGACAACTGTAATAGCATAGTCAATGAAACAATTTAAAAATGAAAATAGCACTCATTCACAAATAATAGTAATGATTGTTTCATGTTTACATCAATAACATAAGTTTATAAAAATTGTTTCAAAACAAAAACATCAGTAGGAAGAATAGAATTATTTTATATAATTTTGCAATGTTTTCAAATTTGTCTTAAAAGAAGATAGCTGAATTCTCACCTCTGTTTCTGCATTACCTTTTGTAACGTTGCGCTTTTTTGACATGTATAAAAAAATCCAACTTCACACTGATATGTAATTAGAAAAGAAAGGAGTATTTTAATAGCATTTTCAGATAATTATGGGTATTCTTCTTCAATACTATGCCAAAACTCATCCAGTGATAATTTCTTAAAGGTTAGTTGCAAGTGAAATCTGAAACCATATCAATGAACAGTTTGTTTTCTGTTGCATAAAAATTCAATGGACTTTCTTTCCCTTTAAATTGATTTTTTTTAATCATATATCATTTTGTAAGATGCATTAGTTATTTTCAAAATATTGGTTTGCTGAGTTATGGAGGTTTTTATGGATTATGAGAAATTTGAACATATCCAGTATTTACTTAAATTCTGAATCTTGCCTCCCTCATCAAGATTAGATTCTACTTTTTCTGTTTGCTTGAAATTAGACTGTTAGGCTTTGTTGAGCATTGAAATTACTATTAAATAAATTCCTATTTGAAAAGAATTTTAGTTTTAAAAATTCAGCATTTAGAATATGTAAAACCCACATTGCATATTTTAATCTTGCATATTTTCTTGTTTCTTTTCTACTCCTGTATCTCAGAAATACATTTAGAAATGTGTATTAGTTTGCTAGGGTTGTCATAATGAAGCACCATAGACCAGATGACTTAAACAACATAGTTTTATTTTCTCAAAATTCTGGAGGCTAGAAGTCCAAGATCAAGGGTTTGGCAAGGTTGGTTTCTTCTGAGGCCTTTCTCCTTAGCTTGTAGGTGGTGGGTCTCCCCCTGCCATGTCTTCACGTGGTCTCCCCTCTGTGTGTATCTGCACCCTGACCTCTTCACCAGTCATATTGGCTTCGGGCCCACACTTACGACCTCTTTTAACATCCCTCTTTAAAGACCCCATCTCCAAATCTGGTCACATCCCGAGGTCCTGGGGATGCGGACTT